AGTTTTGAAAGCCATATTACTTTCATTGCATTAAAATATATTAAATCTGCCGCTTTTGTCAGTATTTTGTATGTATCTAGAAGAAATACCGAGGTCATTCAATAGTAAAGAATGTTCGTCGTATTTCTCATGAGTTGTCATGATTGCACGACAGTTTGTCAACAGAAATAGCTGTTCGTATCTGATATTTTACCGATTATATAAAAAAAAATAGAAGAACCACTTTGTTAGAACGTATCATCCTTTAGGGGTTTTGATCTATGAAATAACTGGTCTATTTGCATACTCGAATCATAAAAAATCAGGTTTTTTTTTTCTAAGTGGTATACTCTCAAATCTTCTTGTTGCACTAATAATTTCTTTTAAATGAATCTTTGTAAGTTGTTCAAGCGAACGGAAAAAATAGTGGTCACATTAAAGTAGTTTTTTCAAGAAATTCTGATTTTAATTTATTTTTGATTTAATTTTAACCAAACAACACCTACACAGTTATCAAACAATTTTTTTGCAATTTTTCCTATAACCAAAAGAACCATCTCTGTCAGAAGAGTTCTTTATTATCCAAACAAATTCTTCGAATGATATAGAAAACTTGAAATGGGATACATTTAGTACGGAATCGCTTGAGATAAAATCAAGCCAAAACGCTTTGATAGTGGAGATGGATAAATTTTTTTCACAGAAAAAGCTGTATCAGGAAAAATGAATCACAAAATTAACCACTAATTATAAATAATCATGATAATTCATCTACTATTAAAACATAAATATTGCTAATATTGGACGCAATTCTATCAAAAAAGTCAAATCTACCGATTGAACTAGTATCATATTTTTCGCATCGAAAAGAGTGAGTGACGAATATGAATAAACCGCCAAAATCAAGCATTGATATTGGTAAGAGGACTCTTGATGGTATATAGTTCATTGACATTTCTTCATTGTTCTCAAAAATAGAAAAACCACAGATAGATAACTAGTTCTTGACATAGAACTTGTTATTATTCTAATCGATTGCGATTGTTGGGATTATTTGCGTATTAAATGATAAAAAATGCAAATTTATTTACTTTTTCTAAAAATGATACATGCGTGAATGATGGTATCGACCATTATACAGAGTATATAAGATCGTTGTTTTTGGGCAAATATCATACATTATCGAGCTGGCCGTTTAGTTGAAAACATCGTTCTTTGTTTTTTAACAGAATTTTATACTTCAATCAAAATGATCAAGGTTTGTTTTATTTTTTTCTATGAAGTGGTAGAAGCTACACACAAAGTGCACAATAGAAGATAGATAGAATTTATACATTTCATGTAGTGAATTTATTCTTTTGGAAATAAAGTTAATATTTTTTGAAATGGTTTTTCTCCGCAGATTTTTATGTTGTGTGTTGCAATGGCAATCGTGAGCCAACAATTTGTTGACGCTACTCGACCCGACAACCAAGGTGGGTTCGGCGGACACAGTAGATCAGGCCATTCTGTTCCCGGTAGTTTCGGTGGTGAAAGTTTTGCAGGTGGCCAGGGATTCAGTGGTGGATTTGGAGGCCCTGGTTTCAGTGGTCCAGGTTTTGGCCGAGAATTCGGTGGTGGATTTGGAGTTCCGGGCGGTGGTTTCGGTGGTTTAGGAGTCGGAAACGGAAATCGTCATTAATCAAACTAAAAATAATAATTATACAGTAGCTGACGTACAAAAATAAAACAAAAACATTCACAATATTTTACACCACGGCATTTTTATTTTAGTTTCATAGTATTGATCTTTGGGTTTGGTATCAACATAAATAAAATATGTTGGTGTGTGAAGCTGATCCAGCTTGAACCTCAATTTGCTCTTTCTGAACACATAGCGCCCTTTCAACTTTTTCGATTTTTGGCTCAAAACTGAAAATTTTGTATGGGAACAAACTTTCAGAATGTTAATTTTTTGTGAAAAAATGACCTATGCAAAGTTTCACGTCATTGCGATATCATACAGACGACATTGCGTCCTTACAAAAATTCACATTTTTTGGTGATTTTACCTTTCCGCGCACACAACATATTTTGAATTTTTTATTCGTCAATAGTCTCTTAATTGACCAAAAAAAAAATTACTTCTCTCAGTAATTGGAATATGGTGGTTATTGAATCAGCACTGCACTAGTAGTCTTACGGATACTTTTTATTTTTACTTTTTATAAGAATTATACTCTCAAATCTTCCGGCTATGCTAATCTTCCGGCTAATAATTTTCGTTAAATGAAACTTTGTAAGTTGTTCAAGCCAAAGCCAATGGAAAACGACTATTTTTTTTTGTATTATTAAAACGGTTTTTTCAAGCAATTCTGATTTCAGTTTATTGTTGATTTAATTTTAACCAAGCAACACCTACTCGGTTATCAAACAACTTTTGCAGTAACCAAAAAACGTCTCTGTCAGAAGAGTTCTTCATTATCCAAAAAAATTCTTCGAATTATACAATATAATAAAAACTTGAAATGGGATACATTTAGTACGGATTCGCTTGTGATAAAATGCTTTGATAGTGGATATGGATGAATTTATTTTTCTCACAAAAAGCTGTACCACGAAAAATTACTCACACATTTTTAAAAATACCCAACATGATAGTTCAACTACTATCAAAACATAAATATGATAATATTGAAAACATTTCTATGGATATCTATTTTATACTCAAAGACGTCAAATCTACCGGTTGAACTAGTATTATATTTTTTGCATCGAAAATCGCGATGAATATGAATCAACCGCCAAAATCAAGCATTCGTTTCAAACAATTCGTTGAGAGTTGATGGTATTAGCATTAAATTAATATGGAGTGTTCTTTGACATTTCTTCATTATTCTCAAAAATAGAAAAACCACAGATAGATAACTAGTTCTTGACATAAAACTTGTTATTGTTTTAATCGATTGCGATTGTTGGGATTATTTGCGTATTAAATGATAAAAA